TTTCTTTTAATTCCCAGTTCATTAATGTAACCATAATTTGCAACTCAGCCGCCGATAACGCAAATATGACTTGATCATCGGCATACAAAAGGCATTTGACGGTTAACTCGCCTATTCTTAACCCACGTTCTTCATCTTTCAAAGTTTGTAAACACCTGTCCATAAATAGGTTGAACAGCCAAGGGGAAGCTACACAGCCCTGTCGGACACCTTTTTGGATGCCAAACCAGTCCGAGTAAACCCCATTGATCCTGACACAAGCACTAGAGTCCCTATAAAGAGACCTTAATGCCTGTACCAAACCAGCGCTCAACCCATATGAGTTCAGTGTTTGCCATAACACATTCCTGTCCACTCTGTCATAAGCCTTTTCCAAGTCCATGAACGCACAAAAACTTTCTGGTTTTTGGCCAAAAACTTCTCCGCAATCATGCGCATGGAAAAGACTTGATCTGTACACCCCATTCCCTTTCTAAAACCCGCTTGCACATCCCAAATTTTTCCTTCAATTTTTCTTTTACAACGGTTGAAATATACCTCCACTGCATATTCTGAGGGATAGGTTGATTTTTGTTTTTATTTTAAGTATCTATACTCTCTGTGAGAAATCCATTGGTGGACTGATTTTTGATATTTTTATGGAATTAGTCAAAAGGGTTTTGTGCTCTGATGAATTCGTTACAGCTTGCTTTAAGGGATTCACTTTGTTTCTCCGTCTAAGAGCTGTTTCCTTACACGAATCAAATAAGTCCTCGAAAAATGACAAAGCTTCTGAAGTATTTTTTGACGTCGAGTTTACAGGTTTTCTATCAGCTTAGCGAGCTGTAACATAAAAATAATAAAGTTATATATAATATTAGCCTAGAAACCCTAAATTAATGTTATTTTTTTCTCTTTTATTCTTATATTTTTTTTTACTTTTTATAAGACAGTGCTTGACCACAATCCCACCCGGTGGTAAGTGGTGATGCAGCCTTAGATAGTAAATCGCACTGTCTTAGCGCAACATAACCCTATTCACTCTTGCCTTGAAGACGCCCAGATTGTATTCGGACAGAAAGATAGACGCTGGCAAATTATTCCACTCCTTTGCTGTACGCATTAAAAAATTCGAAGTAAACCGTTTGGTTCTAATGCGTGGAATATCAACAACAAAGGGGTAAAGACCCGCCGACCGCCTGGTCGTCCGATGGTGAAAAGGAGAAAGAGGAATTAAAGCGTGCAATTCCTACGCACACTCTGCGAAATGCATCCTATAGAATACTGAGAGGCTGGCTACTCTGCTCCTGTGCTTGAGGCTGACAAAGTTGGTTAATTCAAGAAATGTTATATTCTTTATAATATATCTTAATATATATAAATTACATGTCACATTGTTCGTCCGCAATAGACTCCAAAACTACATAACCGATTTAATCACACATCTGCAGTTTGGGCCAACTTGAGATGAAGTTTTTTTTCTCATATCCCCACAATTTTTTTTGCGAATTTAAGAATTTTTAATAGGACATGACATAGGGTCGTCGAAAAGGGCAGAACAACGTCTGCCTGGCAAGCTAGTTCTTTATAATAATGTCCTCCAGATCAAATTTCAGTCATGGTGGCCTGCCTCAACTAGCCATCGGCGCAGGACAGGATTATATTGCCTAAATCTATGTGCAAGTACAGGTGCACTCTCTATTTCCTCACTCACAATCCGATGGAACAGTAAACTGACACGACCGGAGAGAGACCAGGCGCAGGATCAACGCCTTTACGAGCTTTCCGAGGCATGGGGGTAAGACACCGCCAACTTCTTGACTTCAGGCAGCTACTGAAGATTTCTTGACAGAAAACTCAATTGATTATTGGCCCGACCTAATATTCAAACCCAGGACCTCATGATCAGCAGTCGCAATACTACAACCACTAGACCAACAAATCAGTCAATCCTACATAATCAAGTCAATGCATGTAGCGTAGCAAGTCATACTACATAATACAGCTTATAAGTATCCATGCACCCTTATATAAAAATAATCTCCTCTATAGTTTTTACTGGAATAGATCTCTGTTTAGTATTAAGGCCCGCTAATTGTACATTTAGTATATAGTTTGTTGTCAGTGTTTATGTAATATAATATTGTATGCAATAAAAAGTATAAAAAGTAAAATAAATATCAGCTTTCTACATTTACATTCTCAGCTGGATTTAGGACTTTATAGATCAGTGAATATTTTTCCACTAGTAGGGCACATCTGTAAGCAAATAGTAAGACGGCCCCCCACTAAGGTGATGACCTGATAAGACATGCAGGAATATGATGTGTGCACATGGGTGAGTTCTGTGTATAACGACATTTCAGGTAAGGCCTTTGTTCAGCAGTGGACTTTTGAAGAGGCTAATGAAGATGACACAATATTTCAATGTGCCTATAGACACAATACACTCTCCATCATCTATTTGTGAGATTTTTGGTTCTGTAAATGTAAATGTAAACCTACAGAAGTAGATTGCACTATTTATTAGTAAGCAGGGCTCACTTCATGCAGGTGATGTTGGAATTGGTAAAGTTTGATAGATTTCCCCATATTGTAAATTAAAATAAAATAATATTTAGATCAACAGACTTACAAAATTGTGATGTGTATGCCAAGGCTCCTGCAACAGTCTTGCTTAACACACAACTGCAGTTTCTCACCTGAAAAACCAAATGTTAATTAATTAGGCTTTATTCCAAAGATGTATTCTATTGTATGTATATATTTATTTTCTTACATTGGTAAGCTTACCTTCATTTTTTTATTTTCTGAGGAATGACATGTTCATCACTTAACTTATGCAGCAAATATATTTCTGCATGTTTGCGGTCTGTTAAATAAACATCTACAATATTATCCCATTTTGATGTTTTCCCATTCAATACTATATTTTTGTCAAGAAAATTATTTCTTAGACCTTTAATGAGAAACAAGATATTAATCTTTTGACTGCTTATTATGATTGTGTCATCTGAAATGAAAACAAAAATTTGGTTAATAGGCAATCAAAAGTATAAAAATACATTACTATTAGCTTTTATTAAGAACTTTTATTTGTGGCTTTAAATCTTTTATTTAATTATCTTACCAGTATTTTCATTTGCCAATATTTGTTTTTTTTTTCTTATCTTTCTTCAACTTATTAATGGCTGACTGAATAGATGTTCCCCGATCGGATACCAAAGCCACAGGAATTATTCCAGTTATTATTCTCTTCTATCACTTGCTCTATTATATTTTTTTAAATAAGTGCAGGTCTAGTTCCTGACAAAAATAAAATGCAATAGGCCGTTGCCATTTGGCATGGTCCAACATTAAGGCATGGTCGCAATAGAACTGTGACTAGTTACATAACTCTAAAGTCCACAGATATTGTCATTGTATTTGTCATATGTAAGACCTGGCTCTATCGAAACTTCACCAAATATTAGCGGAAATATTTTTTAGATTCTTGCCGATTTGCAACCTAGGAATAAAAACATCAGGTAATTAACTGAACATAATAATATACTATTTGTGAAGAATTTATGAAGATTTTTACACTGCTGTTTGTCCTATCATTTTAAAATGTTTATAGATGGATGGTGGTTCATTGATATCTGGAAACAAATATGTATACTTTTTATAGTTAACAGTGAACAGCAGGCCCATTCTTTAAATTTTATGCCATCAAAATGATAGTCATTTGGTAGCACATTGTGTGGTATACTATATAGCTTTTTTAAGAGTATGAAAACACAATGTATCTAGCAAATAATACAAATGATATTAGATTGTTTAGTGTGATTGCCAACTCAATCTATATATTTAAAACATAAAAGGATTTTAATATTGATATGGCTAACATAAGATGCTGTTAGGTTGGCTAATTATGTAATAACGTAAGACAGAAGGACCCAAGTAAGTAAATAAAAAAGTAAATTAACCGACTTTGTTCACACAACTTTTTACGGTAGAAGAACTGAGTTACGAGACTTGGTTCTTTTTAAATGTTATGTTTTTGATGGCATCTCATTTCATTTTGTATATAGCCGTACTTTTTTCCTTTCCGGTACCATCTACTTCTTGAATACCAACAAAGTACCTATCTACACCTATTATTGCATTATATTATCATATACATGTACACTGATTAATTTACTGCAAATGTAATTTTGTAATCCTTTATTTATATGGGATTACAAAGTTATTTATGCAGTTAATGTATCTAGAAAACTGGACCAAAATTGCAAAAAATTTAAATTTTTATAAAAATGTAAGTTATTTAAGATACTTTCTTATTCAGAGAAACAATTTTGATGTAAAGATGTTACTGACATAAAGACTAACAAATATTAGTTGATAATGTCTTAAAATTGTTTACTTAAATATTAGAAAATTACAAAGCTGCTTTACTTTCTACAATACAAAGACTTAGGTGACACTTATTTTGTTCTAATAAATTTGACTATACTTAAAAACATTTAAGAACATTAACTATTCATTTCAAACAGTTATTATTTTATCTTGTTGTAGACTTTTTTGTTAATTTATTGTTATAAAGGACTTAGTCGCTAAGCTACCACATCATCCCATTCTGACTACAATTACTTAATCACTACAATCAAATACAAAATGTATTAAAGTAACAATGGTTATGTGCATTCTGACTACAATTACTTAATCACTACAATCAAATACAAAATTTATTAACACTTTAACAGCCGTACACGTACTGAGTACGGGCAGTGTCGATCAACTCGGGACGCCGATCACGTACTCCGTACGGGTTTGACTTTCCTATCGTCTGTTTAAAAATTACGTTCCCGGTGCGTGATTGGCGTATAACCCCGGTGTAGAATGACTCTTTAGCTACACCCACATGTATGTATCACCGACGGGAGGTGCGGGGTGGAGGCAGGACAAGCAATCTTTCAGCGCGCGTCGCCAGTGCTCCCACGCCACCAACGTGAGAGCACGTCCTTGCATTTTGGCGCGAAATGGCTTCCGCTCGACGTAGTTGGCGTCTCGATTCTAAAGAAATTTTTGATGTTTTGGTAAATGATGTTGACTCAGACATTGAGGAAGACCCGGAAATTCAAATTGAAGGTAAATTATTGTATTTTATTATTGTATTTTTATTCGAATATACCTTTTTTTGCGAAGTCTAGATTTTTATTGGTGTTTTCTCTCTCCAGAGGTAATTCAAGACTTACATGAGGTGGTTTCGGTCCAAGATCATGAAAATGATGATGCTGACATGTCAGAGAACGTATCTGAACCAGAACAGGGTCGAAGTCTAGGTCGCTCGAGACCTACACTTCGAGGCAGAACGAGATCGCGCGGCGGACGCGTTCGGTCAGGGGCGCGCTCGACTACCCGCTGCAGCAGCGGCAGACATGCATCAACTTCTATCAGGGAAATGGATGAAGCTAATGGATGGTCATACGAAGCAGTGCAGCAGCCGCCGGAAAATCCAGTATTTCAAGAAATATCTCGCGTATTAGCCCCGATTGATGAAAATTCGTCACTGTTCGATTGTTTCTCAATTTTTTTTCCTGATTCTTTTTGGAAATTGCTCAAGACTGAAACAAATCGTTATGCAGCTCAAATGAAGGCTAAACAAACGCGACAAGGTATCCTGAAACCTGGCACTATGCTTTATCAATGGAAACCAGTCACGAAACAGGAACTGAAAACATTTTTTTCCGTAGTGATTCATATGACACTCGTTCAAAAAGAAAGTTTTGATTCTTACTGGTCAACTCGTGAAATAATAGAAACTTCATTGCCAGAAAGCACATGAATAGGAACCGATTCAGAGCCATTTACAGCTGTCTTCATTTGAACGACAACTCAAATTATAAACCACGTAATGATCCAGAATACGATGCTTTTTTCAAACTCAGACCGTATTTCGATGAACTGTGTTTTTTGTGTGAGAACAGTTTTTATCCCAATGAAAACTTGACGATTGATGAGGGCACTTGTGGATTTAGGGGTCGAGTGCACTTCAGAGTTTACAATAAAGATAAGCCCGATAAATACGGTATGAAAGTCTACATGCTATGTGACGCGGAAACGGGCTACATACTACGCATGGTTCCCTATGTTGGCGACTCAAAATCTGTCGAGACTATTATCGCTGAATTGAGTGAACCATATTTTGGTAAATGGCACACCATTTATATGGATCGTTTTTTTTACGAGTCCGACAATTGCGGACTTGCTTTGGCTGAAAGAAACTCGCACTGTAGGCACAGTGATGGCGAATCGTCGTGGTCTGCCACAGGTTTGGCGACAACAACCGTTGGAAAAAGCTGAAATGGCTTTTTGTCACCGCGGCAATCTAACTGCCTGTAAATGGAAAGATAAGCGTGATGTACTTATGCTCACGACGAAACACGGAGCTAGCTGGACAGAGGTGGATACAAAAGCCAAAGGTGTGGGCGTAACCAAAAAGGTGAAACCAGACTGCATCCTCGACTATAACCACTACAAAATTGGCGTAGATCTCAATGACCAATATGTATCCTATTATTCGTTGAATAGGAAAAGTATGAAATGGTGGAAAAAAATGTTTTTTAATTTAGTAGCGCGTTCTCTGGTAAACGCTTACATTTTGTACAATAAATCCAGAGAACAACGACGCCGCCTGCGATTCTCGCAGTTTCTGATGGACTCTGGGGAACAACTGGTGGAAACTGCATCAGATGCTGAAGCAGGACCCTCCCATGGTCCACATGCTGTCGGGACAAGCACGAGGCTCGTCGGTAGGCACTTCATAGAGAGGATTCCAAGCTCGGAAAAAAAAGGAGAAAGTCGCACGAGTTTGCAAAGTGTGTGCCGACATTTCAAAAAAAGAAACCGGAAAAAAGGGGGGCGCAAAGAGACCATTTATTACTGCCCAGACTGCAATGTTCCTTTGTGCTACTATCCCTGCTTCAAAATGTTCCACACACAAAAAAATTACGTTCTTTAGTTAGCTCAAGTATGTAAGAATGTTTATGTTGGAGTTTTTTTTTTTTCGCTTGTAGACCTCTTTTGTTAATTTTTTTTCATAAATATTTTTCATTATTTTTAATGTTTTTTACTTCTTCCTTTAAAATATAAAGAACAATAGTACATATAAAAGAAGAATAATATACATATCACAAATAGTTTTTATTTTATGAGTCATAGAATATCGGCAAAAATCACCGGCGTACCAGGAACGGCCACCTTTATAACGGTCGGCTGTTAAAGTGTTAAAGTAACAATGGTTTTGTGCAATTAACACAACTATAAATAATCACACCTGAGGAATAAGTGGAACTATAAACAGTCACACCTATTCCCTACACAGAAACAAGTCTACTAGCTTGACCAGCATTTTAGCCTCCTTCGACATTGGATAAGCCAAAATACTGTTCAAGGTGCCAAAGTGAAAATTCCTATCACTACCAAAACATTCTAATTGCTTCATTCAAGACACATTCCATCAAAATATGTTGGAAATTTTCAACTATTCCGCATATGTCATGATTTGATGTTGGCACTTTTTTCATCAAAAAAGAAAACTCGTTCGATGGAATATGTAATCTAAGAATAGGTCTTATGTAGTTTCTTTTTAGTGGACAATTATCTGTTCACAAATTACAGGTTATTTGTGGCTGAATTGTTCAATACCAGATACTCTTCAACAGACTGACAGTTATATGTAATAACTTGGCAAATGGCAACCTTTGAATAATAATTTTGAGATTGCAATTTTAAGATTGATTTTATTATATCATAGGCAATCTGTTCACCTCTCACTTATGAGGCACAGCCAAATCCTATAAAACCCAGTACATAATGGAAATTAGTTAGATAACAAATATTAGGAAAGAATTATTTCAGTGATATTGATTATTGACAGATTATTCTGCAAGAGCCTTACAATCGTGACGGAGTTATACAGAATTATACTAAAAATACAACATCAAGCAAATGTCCCTAATAGAAAAATAAGAAGATTACTTCTCTAGTATATAGTCAGTAATCTATGAAGATTACCATAGTTGTCTATTTCCAGAGCAGGTATTCCAGTCATGGAGTTTAAACACTTCAAAGTAATTTCATTCGATCAAATCCAAATTTCCAAAACTCCACCAAACTGTATTGAAATTGAAATAATGAATAGAGTACCTTTGTATAAACTGAGAGTATCCTGTTCCTATATCCTCTTTTAATAGTCTCTGTTCTCTGTGAATTAAAGTTATGGAAGTTTGAAATGCAATCTGTGGTAATAAGAAATGTCTTAACCCATTCATTGCCACTTAAATTTTATAAACATCACCTGGGTGCCACTTAATATTTTTGTGGATTACAGAAGAAAAGGCGTAATTAAATGTGTTCATTAATCACAAAAATCCCATAAATAACAAAAACCCATCTAAAAATGGTAAACGCACCATACATGGTGGTGGCACTGGTAAGAGAAATTTAATCACTAGCTAGTGCCATTCAACCCATAGATAAATAAATATGTAGCAAGCTAATTCAACATGCCGTTTGCGTTGACGTTTGGATAGTATTATGTAACATGTTCTGAGAGACTGATGCTGGATATGTCAATATGCTGCTTTATTTATATAATCTATGTTTGTTTATAAATAGGTGTAAGTCCTTGTTTTACACACATAATATTACTTTGTTCTGTCCTAAGTTTTTGTATCTTACGTATTTATAACTACTTAGTAACTTGAAGCATGCGGTGTATACCTATTGTTGGTGTACTTAATTAAATAAATAATTTAGTATCAGAATTATTTAACATCTTTGCTCCTTATCTGATTAATGTATACCTATCCACTTTGTATATTGTTACATTTACGGCACCCAATAAAAACCTCTCTGGATGACCTTTGAGTGGGTTGATTATTTTAATATACATAGGTTCGTAAACAATAAAAGTGAGAGAAACCCATGAAGATAATCATTTATTTTTAAAAATAAAAAAAATTACAATTAATAGTTGTGGTACCCTTTGAAACAATTATATTTTAATAATTAAAATCTATCATATAAATCTTCACATAAATAATAATTATCTTTAAACAACTAGTTTATATTTTTCACGTACCTACTTTTTAAACATAAAATAAAAAAAATACCTATGGATTTTCTCTATTTTTCTACCTATGACCTATGGCCTTGGATACTATAAATGCTACTGCGGAAGTAATACTAATAAGTTTCTCTCTGTGGATTCATAATTTAAACCTTATAAAATACGTAAAATGTGACGGCCAGTTTATAAAATATTTAGTAATTAAATACATTACGAATAGTAAATTTAACTTTATGAGTGTAAAAAATATAAAAAAATACGAGACACGCATAAATGAAGTGATTTGTTCCTTGTGCATCATGAATAAAACTATCCAATAAAGTTTTTTACTGCTATGCCAACGAACGAACCGTATGCGTGCATGTGACTTTATTTTTCAAAAACACGATGAAACAAGGGAAAAGAAAGAAAAAAAATTAAGAATACTGATTACTTTTATCTCATAATTTACTAATATATAATGAACACTCGTTGAAACTCAAGTTATTTTAAATTCAAAATGTACGTTATTAGTACCAATCTTTTTTTCATTGTCAAAACAAAAATGACAATACGAGGCAAAAACCATCGGTGTTTCCACATTTAAAAATTATTTCTAATAGTTAATGTTGCCATAGATTAAAATAAATTTCTACCGTTTTTATTTAATGCAAAAAAAACCTCAAGAAGTCACTCAACATTTACGGTGCGTTGGTGGCATGACGTAGTAATCTCGATCAACGCAAATGGTGCGTTGGTGGCAATGAATGGGTTAATCTCGTAGACAGAGAATCCTACACCTCAAACTACGGGTTTGAATCTATGGTTGAAAATAAGGGCAAATTTTTTTGTTCTAAAGCTGAGAACAAATTATCGGACGCGTCCTTCAGCCGCGGCTGACAGACGTGGCTTACCGGCTTAGCGGCACAGAACACTAATACCGTAGACAGAGAAACCTACCTAGGTTTAATCTAATACCGTAGACAGAGAAACTTACCTTAGGTAAACCTAGGTTTCTCTGTCTACGACTAATACCCTTAGGCGGGCTTAGCGATGTGCACGGTATCTGAGACGGCGTCCTCGGACGCCTCGCTTCGGTAGGTGGCATGTTCCAGCCTGCAGACATTAAAATTTCAAAATAAAAAAATCTCATTTTATAGATCTCAATTAGCCCTTTCGACCTACGTTAATTAATTTATAAGCCCGTTTTTCGTTTTCCCAGTGGTGGAGCGACGAGCCTAAGGCTACCGAAGTCCAATTCCCCGGTCGAGCCTTAAAACCTATTACGCGAGATATTAACCAAAGTGGACTGTATATGCGAAATGCTTCTACGTTTACATAAAATAGCGAATACAGCACGCGGTTTCCCATACAATGCACTCGCTCTTCCCTAAAACGAACTATTATTTGCCAAATCTATGAAAGGAATCCTGCTTGGTTAGGAGAAAATAAAATTGGAGCGGATTAACTATTAAATACAATTATATCAAGCAGGAACTATTAGGAATATTCACTCACCGGGGTGTTGCTTCCATGCGGCTTGGGCACTATATTGCTGCGACTTATGAAAGACACTCTGGGTAGACTCTCTGGGTAGACTCTCTGGAGAGAGGCGGTGCGCGACTATATCTCACACAAGGTGAGGCGGGTTTCCTGGAGCTCGACTGCTTCAGGCTAAGCGGTTATACTAGCGGTGCGTGAGGGCAAGAGCTCTTTAGGACACTATTATCCTA